ATACAAATGCGTATTTGCAGAATGCTGACTGCAAACGAGAAAGTATTATAATGTTTGCCTTTAATAATATTAAATCAATCGTTATAATACTTTTTTGTATACATTTTAATTATTTTGTTTAACAGTTCTATCTGATTGTTAGATAGACTTCTATCCGTATTAGACAGAACTGAATGACAACAGCGAACAAGAGGGAAAATGTGAGCACTGTGTGTTCAGGCGCTGCCGCAGCCGTTCTCGGCGCCGTCAAAATAAAAGTCAGACGAGCCGCCACAAATAACTCACAAATAACAAATAACTCAATGTTATTGAAACACTGGACACTGCTATAAGTCAAATGGCCAAGTGATAACCAAAATAAAAGAGTTCACACATATTACACAGCCTGCTGCTCATAACTGCTTAGAGTACACTGGCCACGAGCGATGACATCGTGGATGCTATTGTCGGACCTACCCTCTTAAAAATAAAGGTGCTTCACGATGCCATAGAAGAACCTTTTTGTCTAAATGGTTCCATAAAGAACCTTTAACATCTGAAGAACCTTTCTGTTTCACAAAAGGTTCTTTGTGGCGAAAGAAGGTTCTTCTTCTATAGCAAAGAACCTTTTGAAGCACCTTTATTTTTAAGAGTGTACACACACATTTCACGAGTCAGCCGTCAGCCCTTACCAATGAACAATCAAAATGACACACACACAAAAAAACAGAAAACACAAATATAATTTAGTATGAGATTATATACACAGAAAGAGCACAGTGACAAGGTTAAATATCTTTGAATAATCATAATGCATCAAAAATTGCATTTTTGTCGTTGTTGTTGTTGTTGTTATTTATATGCCTGAGGGATGAAATGAGAGTTAAATTCAACAAGAAAAAGAGGAAAATCAATTAGGTTTAAGCCAGTTTTGCTTGTGGGTGAAAAAGTTTGTACATAAAATAAAGAAATTAACAACATATTCAACGATTTTGGGTTTTTGTAATAAAAAAAAAAATATCTTTAAGGATAAAACTGTGGGTCACATTAGTAGGGTTAAAAATATAAGAACTTGAATCAACCCAAAATGTAGTGGTTATACTACAATCGCTAAATAAATGGGCAGCTGTGTCTTTAGCAAGACCACAAAATGAGCAAATTTCATCAACATCCAAATATTTACAGATAGAGGAAAGCTTATTTTTCTTACAGTCTTCTCCCCCTTTTTAAAGTGTATAAGGGATGTTTAAATGCCTCATTCATTCATTAACGCTGCAAAAATGCTTTTCTTAGTGAGTATTTTACTTAAAACAAGAAAAATAATCTTAATGCAAATGGAAACAAGGTTATTTTTCTTACCCCATTGGCAGATAATTTGCAAAATAAGAAAAATACACTTAAAAGACTAAATACCTTATGTCATTTTTCTTATAGAAAATGCATCTTGATTTAAGAATCAAGTATTGTGGCCATCCTCTTCATCTGTTTCATCTGTTGTTCTTCATTATTTTGCGAGCCTTCTTGCTGTTGGCTGAGTAGAAGTCAAATGTTAATTTCATTACTCTAATTAAGAAATGCAACAGTTTGGATTAGTGAACATTTAATTATGTGAAAAGAGCATTCAACTATGTGGAAAAAGCTGCTGCACATTGAAATAGACACTGAATGATATTTATTTAGCCTAATATGTCAAATGCTTGTAAAGTCATGTAGCCTACACCCATGAACCTTTAAAGCTTTACCTGATTGAATTATGTTTTTATACTTTATGTTTAGCTGATTTTTTTTGTCTTTTTTTTTTTTTTGTATGGTGTCTAAAACGTAAGTCTCTTAATTAACTTATTGTTTATTGAATTCAATGTCACATTTGTAATCATGGTAATTTTTGGAGAAAAACGGCACTCTTCGTGTGAAATTGAATAACTATATGAAGTGGTATAAATATATAAATTTTCTGCCATCACGTCTTGAATTTGTGATCATTCTAAATGCATTTTAATAGACTGAATCGTACGCACTAGTCTAGACTTCACGTAATGTATGCGTGCACTCTGTAGGGATGTTTTGAATGGTTTTTGCAAAATACTCAATGTCAAATCGCACATCGTTAAAACAACAATTACGATATTATCGCAGACGATATATATCGCACACTCCTACTCACAACAGATCAATGTTAATGACCTTACAGTGGTGGACAGCACTAGTAGAATGACCAGCCACGTGCCGTTGTGTGGCCAAAGCCATAATGAAGCATTAAAAAAACATCACGTCACGGTCATCTTTTCAGACCAGAATCCATTTAAATGAATCCATTTAAAAAGTGGATTTTCAGTCAAATTTTTGCAACGGCTCTTCGTTCCAAAGCTTTTAAAAGAAACCACATGTTCATTTATGAGTGCATGATGACTTCAAAACTTGCTAGGATTGTTGGGGTTCTGAGACCTGACTTGTTTTGTCATTAAAAATAGATCTTAAAACCTGGAGCTTGTTCAAAGGTAAAAATGAACACCAACACAAAAGCTCATGAGCAGAGTGGAAATAAAAATTACAGTATGTCATAAGCATTTCATAACGCATGATAACACGCCAACAAAGGGAACTGACGTCTCGAGACTCATTAGAATGAGTCGTATGACCCGCGGCGACCTTTTTTGCATTAGCGGGTGAACACGGACACATCATTTGGGAGTTTGCAAATGTCCAAAAACAATTGTGTAAGATGGACACAAACAAGAGGAGCCTGCATGATCAGCCTGACTCAGATCAGAACGCCGAAAGTGAATGAGTCTGGTTTCAGAATGCCGTGTGTAAGTTATTCTGTAGTAGGATCACAGCATGACAGAAACCAAGCCAACTCACATGACACAATGTTGCAGGTGGAGGAAATTCCCAACCCACAGCTCCCTAGTCAACAAAGTTCATTTCATTATAGCCTGAGTGTCATATGATATACACTACCAGTCAGAAGATCAGACACACTTGACTGAATATATATATATATATATATATATTCAGTCAAGTGTGTATATATATACTTTAAATATTGTCTATATATACTGCATATAGGTTATTGATGCCATTTTACAATACAATTTGGGGGAAATATACAAATATATATATATACTACCGGTCAAAAGTTTGGGATCAGTAAGACTTGTAATGTTTGTTTGTAGGGTAAAACGTAATTACGCTTTCGAAACGGTCTGTTTTGCCCTGCCATCATTCGCTGAAGCTGTGTGTGAACAAGAAGCGGCTGCAGAGTGTGAGTTGCTCCGTCTCTCACGCAGCCAGAGAGAGATTCTCCGGCGTTCCGCAACAACGCTTAGCTGCCTGCAGATGCGCCTGCCTATAAATCGGCCAATGCCGATTAATTCAAAAATGCCAAAAATCGGCTGATTAATCGGTCGACCTCTAGAATAAACCATGACAGTTTTGTTAAGAACAAAATGCATGTTTAATAAAAAATTCAGTTTTTGAAAAATATTTTTGTATACATAAAAAATAGGAAAAAATAAAATGTTTTTTTTCTAAAAAACTTCAAAATTGATAAGAACAAATCTAAACAAATCTAAACTACAAGCAGAAAAAAAATTGTTTTATTAAGACTTAATAAATTAAGATGCATTTTACCTACTATTTTACTTACTAATTTTATAATGAATGATACAATGAAAAACTCCAGAGATTTAAGGTGCAGGCACATTTACCGTGTACCCGTGCCAATTTCGTAAAATATTTGCTTGTTGCTTGGTTTGGTCTGTACTTCATACATCACTATTGACAACAGACAATTTCATCCAAACGTTCTCTAATGTGGTCGTACCTCTACTTCAAAAAAAGATTCATATAGGGCTGTTGTGAGCCAATAAGTGAAAATCTAGTTAAAACTTTAGGTAAAAGTGAACTTATCTTTTCCCGTCGATCAGTCCCAACTATCAGTACTTGCTCTTTGTGGCAATCCTACATGAAGCCATGAAGATATGCGCAACTTCCCGACTTTATGCAAAGAGGAAGGATTACATAAAGAAATTTTACTAAACAGATCCCATCACACTGGGTCAAATGTCACATACCACAGGAGTAACATGATGAACAGGAAACACGGCACACGAGGAAGGACTCCACTTGAGCGAGTTTCCCAAAGGACGGGCATCACACCATCCCCACACCTCAGTACTGAAACTAGGTGTACTCGGGACTTAAAGATCCTCTCGGTTACATCACCCAACCTGTATTTCATCATCTTAAAGGGTTAGTTCACCCAAAAATGAAAATTAGCCCATAAATTCTCACCCTCAAGTCATCCTAGGTGTATATGACTTTCTTCTTGAACAGCATTTATTCAAAATATAAATCTTTTCTAACAATGTAAATATTTGCTATCACTTCTTATCAATTTAACAAATCCTTGCTGAATAAAAGTTTTAATTTCTTTAAAAAAATGAAAGAATAAAAATGTACTGACCCCAAACTTTTGAACGGTAGTGTATATTGTTAGAAAAGTCATAGAAAACTGTGGATTATATCAATGGTAAACAACCGTGTTGGTGAGGACAGGTTTTCTAAACAAGACTAACCCAAACAAAACCATTACAATATAAACATATGCCATTTAAACCATGAAAGCCGGGTGTCTAGTGAAGCTGGAGTAGCTTTGACTCTCACCACAGACAATTAATAAAAGCCTCCTGAGAAATTAAACCCCCGAGTGATTTAAAACCCCATTTGACTTTGTAAAGTAACGAATAAAACAACACGAACAGTGCGCAGTAGCTATGCTAACTATCATCGCTAAAGAGAAGAAACGAGATTAATGTAAGACTAGCCGGAGGCTATGTGTCACGTATTGTTAATATGCATTTATCCCCCGCCAGCCGTGCTAGCAATATGATCGTTTTGATATATACAAATATGTTTTCACGCAGTAGCAGGAAACCCGTGTTCCTGTTAGCAAGACACCCCATCTGCACTGAACGTTTCATGGTTTCTCTCAAATCAATGATGCCGCATTCACTTACACGTAGATGATGGACACGAGGTGATGGGTGGGACCGAGAAGATGAACTGCGTTTGGGGTTGGTTGGAGTCTGCGCCAAATACAATGTGTTCACTGTTGACCAGTGTTATTTTAGTAGCACTGAGTTTTTATTGATATTTGAAACCAGCTTTTATTTTTATATTTTCCGATTTTATTTTAATTTAAGTTAAAGTTCAATTTAAGGCTGCTAAACACTTAGGAGTGTACTCACTTTTGTGGCCAGCGGTTTAGACATTAATGGCTGTGTGTTGAGTTATTTTGAGGGGACAGCAAATTTACACTGTTATACAAGCTGTACACTCACTACTTTACATTGTAGCAAAGTGTCATTTCTTCAGTGTTGTCACATGAAAAGATATAATAATATATTTACAAAAATGTGAGGGGTGTACTCACTTCTGTGAGATACTGTATATATATACATATATATGTGTATTATCAGACACGAGAAATAATTAAAAATAATAAATAATACTAAATATTATGTGGAGAATATATATATATATATATATATATATATATATATATATACACTGCAACTCCACAGTTCATCCACAAGGTGGCCAACTCTAATCTGATTTATTACCTGGAAAAGATAAACATTATTAGGCTATTTACCGTCACCAGGATTATTGGTCATAAAGTTTAAGGCTGCTAAACAGAAGGCTGATGTTCCTCATCCTTCATAAGGTGTGTCTTATTATAAAGATTATGAACACCTGACTTAATAAGACTGATCACATGCTTCAGAATCAACACACTCAGTTGGAACTTACATATAATATACCAAAAATTATTCGAGATAGAAGACTAAAACATGTTTTTTTAATCTAACATTTAATTAAAAAGCATTGCTCTGAATCGATCGCATGTTTAGTCATAGCCTACCTTTTTTTTTTTTATTCAAGGTACTTCTATTTTTTATTTTGATTGATAGTTATTCAGGGATGACATCATCTTTAGACTGAAACCTGCCGTGATGCCTATCGATTGTTTTACTATTTTGCAATGTGTTCCTGTCCCGTCTTTTGTTTTTAACTCTTGCCAAGCTCTTATGTCCTGGTAATGATGTCATCACAACCCTTATCCTTTTACTAGTGTCCATGACAGCATGTTTCCACTGGCTCAGCCTGATGAAACTAATTCATCCTCAGCCCTTATTATGAACTCCGCACCTAATGCTGAGAGAAGGTGAGCAAGAAATACATGTGGAAGTACGTGACCGTTAGGAACGAGAAACATTCGATTTAAAGCTCTGATTTAGAATGTTTCACAGAAACCAACTTGCTACTTGTTCTGTTCACGTGGAATTCAAAGGAAGACTAGTCTCAGGTTTAGGTGACAAGCAGAAATATTCAAGTGCATTCCAGAGGTTTTCCTTACAGCAATCCCTTATCAAAAAGTAGTATACTTCGTTTATTTTATTAAGTATACTTAAGTAAAGTTCAAGTATATTTTTAAGTATACTTTATGTAGTAAGTATACAAATATCAGTGTACTAGTAGTATACTTGTAAGTGTACTATTTCATACTAATAGCACACTTGAATAAACTTATTTTTCGTAAGGGAATGAGATAAAACTAGTCAGCAAAGATACAGGACGTTCTGTTGCTTGAAAAAAGAGCAGTGGATTACTGAGCGCTAACCATTTTATGTAACAATAGTGTTTGATTTGTTCGTCGCTTGACACTTCATGAACTGTATTGATCAATAGGCTTTAAGGTAGTGCCATATTTCATATTTAAAATAATTTTTTTGTGAGGGATAGCAGAATGCAGATGAAAATGAGGCTGTGATGGATAAACTTACAGTCTTCACAATGGCATGCACTTTATAAAGGTCCTAGATCATATAATTTTACAACTCGCAACTTTCAATGGTGATTTTGTGTACTGAAATTTTTCAGGAAGGATTTGTTTTAGCTGAACAACCGGTATGTTGTTAAACAGCATTACAATCCATTGAACGTACTTTACTTATGTTCCTCTCAGCCTTGTTTTCATTCTTGTCAAAAGATTAAACATGGCGCTAACCTGACTAGTCTATTGGTCTGATTAGCCTCTACAAATTAATAAAAGAACGCATATTAAACAAACGCTTCATGTTTAATGGTATTAGATTTGTAGATTGCATTTAATAGATTGCACTTTCAAGATAACATTAGCGATTGACTTGTAAAAGCTGTGTTTTGTGCATGTTCGGATGAACCAGTGCTTTTTTAGTTGAGTAAATATTTCAGCGACTCACTCATTTTCGCCATCTACTGGTGTAATGATGTAACTGGCTGTTGTATAATGAAGTGTAATTGTTCACTACATAAATAAAGCATCAGTTATAGCTTTCATTTTTATTATTTGTCATAAAACATTTCCAGAGATAGCCAGACTGATGCAGCAACTGTGATATATATTTGTTTCCTCACACTGTACTCATTCACTACAGCTACAGTTTTGGTGCATAACAAACTATTTGTGAACTAGTCATGTTTGGTAGCATGTCGTTGCAACTACAAGTTGCCAGTTCATTCTAGATGTTTTTGTTGTTGTCTATTTTACTTCTAACTCTCAGAGTAACTGGTAGCCCCATTGAAATATCCAAATGGGACAAATTTGAAAAGGCCTGAAATGGCCTGGTAAATGCATGTTCAAAATTGTGTGAAGCCTTAATCTATAATCTAAAATTTACATGCACACCAACAACAATACTTCTTGAGAAAACTGTCTCCCAAACTGGTTGGTTCCCAAGCAAGTGTCATACATACTTCCTACAACTCCTATATTGTAAGTATTCTGTGTTTCTCCATTGCCTGCTTGTCTCTCACAACCAAGAACAGAAACCGCCTCCAAACCTTTGCAAACATCTAGTGTGAAATCACCGACGAGGCCCTACAAAGTCTCATGGAGATCTGGAGAAACAAGGCATAGATTTCAATATATATATATAATGTATGTATGCATGTATGTATCAGTATACAATCTGTGTAATTTATACAGTATTTTATTGTATCTGCTCATTTGCCTTGAACCCTTTGCATGATGGGACACGTGGATAGGTTTGGCAGTACAGATTCCTGATTACAAGTCAAGCATTCACTGTTATTGGTGAAAAACTTCCAGTCCCCAGGAATCTCCCTAAACTTCTAAAAATTAGGTTAAAATTCTGAGATACATAATAACAATTCCTGTCAATCAGCCTGTTTCCTAGTCACGTATTGTTAGTTGTCCAAATGTATTCAAATACTAAAACAACAACAACAAAAATCAGAAGTATGAGAAATAAAGTCAGAAAGTTGCAATCACAGAAATGAGCATACAAAAGACAGCTTACAGCATGATTAGTATACAACTTCAAAACTGCAATAATAACATGTTTAAAAGACATTGACAGTTTCTGTTGTATGGCCTCTCAGCTGAAGGCCCATGACGCTTAGAGGCCCCAGGACACTGGCCCCATTTGACCCGATCCATAATCCATCTTCACACGTAAATGCTGATATAAGCTCTCCAAAGTCCATACGGAAGAGATCACAGAGATTTTTAAGAGCCAGTTTGAACAATGATAGACAGACGAAGCATGAGTCGCTCCTCTGACATGTTTATGCTGACAGAGTGTGGAGCGATTTCATGTGCATTATTATTATTAAAAGAAAAAAATATGAATTTCTACTTAATTGCATTGAAGTGCCTCAGTGCTGTTTATAATCTGACTATAAAAACTTTTAATTCATACATTTAATAATTCAGAGTTGTTCTGCATTGATTTTAAAAGACTCGTTGATTACCAATAACAAAAAGCTGACAAAATAGCTATTTAAATAAATAAATAAATAATCAAAATGGCACAACTTCATATATCACCATATGCTCCCCCCGCTGATAACAGTAAGAATTGTTTAAATATGAATAGCTACATGTTATAAAACGTATAGTTCCGGTCCTTGATTCTGATTGGTTGAGCTGCGTTCGAAGCTGTTGTAAATTACTCTACAAACCCTTTTAAACTCTTTTTTTTACAGTCTATGCTACAAACATACACCTTTTGTTTACGTCTGTGTGTTGCTCGGCCACTTTGTTGCAACCACAACCGTTTCTGAGGAACTACATTGTTACTGTTTTTATTAATATCATTACACTTTATTTGCTCTGTTTTATTTTGTGAAACCTTACTACGTATATGGAATAACCGTTTTATAAAAGCAATAAGCCCCGTGAAGCCGTGGTTTACAGTGAATTTATAACAGCTAAGGGGGTTGTAGGCCGCTTCGCGTCTTGCCTAACAACGCCTCATAGCTGTCATAAATTCACTGTAAACCACGGCTTCTTGAGGCTTATTGCTTTATTCAAATATGCAAATAACCACTATTTTAGTTGCCATGCAACATTTCTCATTTTCATGTAGTTTGACTTGTACTAAAATAACTAAAACTTAAATAAAATTAATAAAAATATGAACACACACATATATATATATATATACTGTATATATATGGTTTTGTACAGATATATTTTTGTACTAATTCAGTATGTCAAACTTCATAAAAAAACATTTACAATAAAAGCAAAACAAACATTTTGTTTCACTGTGTTATAAAACAGGCCTATTAAAAATATTATATTATATATGTAAAATATTATATAATTTAATGTCAGTTCACTTTAAAATAGTTCCGTTAAATGTTAGATTCACAAGATGTACAAGTCAGATGCTCATAAGCCTTATTGTAAGACAGACCTTATGAGGGATGATGAACATTCTCCTTCTAATTACAGATCGAGCTCAGATCTCCCTTTTCCTTCTTAGAGAAAAACTGAGACTACTCTCATCAGAGTTACAAATGACCTGCTCTTCTCATCCGATCGTGGTTGTATTTCTCTATTAGTGCTACTGAATCTTAGCGCTGCGTTCGACACTATTGACCACAACATTCTTTTGAATAGGCTAGAAAATTATGTTGGCATTAGTGGAAGTGCATTAGCATGGTTCAAGTCATAGTTAGCCTATCTGACTGTCATCAAGTCGTAGCAGTGAATAATGAGCTATCATATTGATCACAAGTGCTTTTCACACTTGACAGATATCATCAGGAAACATGGTGTTAGCTTTCAGTTATGCTGTTATTTTCAGTTATAACTGTTATGTTGATGATACATAGCCTACCAATTCGCAAAACTAACAGAATGCATAGCTGATATAAAAAAACAGGATGACTAGTAATTTCCTACTGCTAAATTCTGGAGAGAAAAAAAAACAGAGGTGTTAATTATCAGATCGAAAACCTCTTAATGTAATAACCTAAAACACTGTCTAACACTTGATGACTGCTCTGTTAATTCCTCGTCATCAGTTAGGAACCTAGGTGTGCTATTTGATAGCAATCTTTCCTTTGGAAACCACATTTCTAGCATTTTCTAAAACCACATTTTTCCATCTTAAAAATATGCCTAAACTACGACCTATGCTCTCAATGTCAAATTAATTCATGCGTTCATGACCTCAAGGTTAGATTATTGTAATGTTTTATTGGATGGTTGCTCTGCGAGCTTAATAAACAAACTCCAGCATGTCTAAAATGCAGCAGCAGCTATAGAGTTCTAGAACCAGGAAGTATGACCATATTAGCCCGGTTCTGTCAGCACGGCACTGGCTCCCTATTGAACAACGAATACATTTTAAAATCTTGCTTATTACTTATAAAGCCCTGAATGGTTTACTATTTGAACGAGCTCTTATTGCATTATAGTCCTCCATGTCCGCTGCGTTCTCAAAACTCTGGCCATTTGATAATACCTAGAATATCAAAATCAACTGCAGCAGATCCTTTTCCTATTTAGCGCCCAAACTCTGGAACAATCTACCTAACACTGTACGGGAGGCAGACACACTCTGTCAGCTTAAATATAGATTAAAGACCCATCTCTTTAACCTGGTTTGCACATAACACACTGTCGCATTTCTATAATTCAAATCCGTTAAATGATTGTTAGGCTGCATTAATTAGGTCAACCGGAACCGCGAACACTTCCCATAACACCCGATGTACTCGCTACATCGAAGAATGGCATCTACACTAATGTTTGTTTCATTCTTATTCCGAGGTCACCATAGCCATACAGATCCCGTCCATATCCAGATTAGATGGTGGATCAGCACTTAGAGACGACCTCTACAGCCCTGAATGTCAGCAGAGACCATGAGAACCAGACGAGTTCTCTGCTCAATTCTGACTTTGCTTTGCAGCCTGAAATTAAACCACGCAATGCTGGTTTCGTCTGGCCAGAGGAGAACTGGTCCCCCGACTGAGCCTGGTTTCTCCCAAGTTTTTTTTTTTTTTTTTTTCTCCATTCTGTCACCGATGGAGTTTTGGTTCCTTGCCACTGTCGCCTTTGACTTGCTTAGTTGGGGATACTTCATTTCTGGCAATATTGTCGACTTGACTGCGCAGACACTATTTGAAGAGGACTGAACTGAACTGGATGATGACATCACTGAATCGACAATGAACTGACTTTAACTGAAATATTGACCGTTTACTATTGTCCTTCTGCATTATCGACACATTGTTTTCCTGTTTGATAGCATAAAGCTGCTTTTACACATTCTGTATTGTGTAAAGTGCTGCAGCTTAAACAAATATTTTGATTCAACATAGAATTAATTTATTACACATAAACCTTTAAGGCTACAGGAGGTAAGTCTCTTGTCATAATAAGTGAGTCATTCAGTCATTCATTCAACCGATTCGTTCAAACTGCTGATTCATTCAGAAGTGTCTTTCAGAATGAGTTACTGAATTATTGGTTCGCTCGATTCATTCAAAATGTGGACTATTTTTGTTCCTATTTTGAGCAAAGCCAGACAATGCTGATAATATTGTGTCTAAAACATAATATTAACTTCCTGTTTATTAAACTGTATAAAGTCAATTTCACATTTTGCAGTCATGCAGATATTTGATAAAATAGAACGTTTGACATTTAAAATTATTTCATATACAAGACAAAACCCTTACGGGACCTTTTGTCATCTTATCTTGAATTCAGGGGCATATAACAGCGTTCTCATTGTACTGCATCACGTTCATCAGCAACTGCAATATAGTCTTTTTTCAATAGTTAGTGTGTGTGTGCGTGTGTGTGTGTGTGTGTGTGTGTGTGCGTGTGTAGGGCAGGCTAATATCTCTACGATTTTAGAGACAACTGTACAGCTCAATGACAATCACTGTTTGGTTACAAAACACAGACAAATAGCTGTTGTAGGCTCGTTATAATGCACCTATGTTTAGATGGAAAAAAAAGATAAATATAATAATTTTATAATGAACATATGTTATGATGAATATACATTTAAGCATTCAGGCACAGACACACAAACATATTTATGTATTCTCCACATAATATTTATTTTAAATTATATCATATGCTATAAAATATGTGAAAATTTGTATTCTATTATATTATAAAACATTGATGTAAAAATTATATATAATATTTACAATAATTTAGGTCAAGCATATCATGACTGAGATTTGATTACATTCGATGTGTGATATCTAAATGATTTTAGAGACTAGCCACTTTTGGTTTACTGGTTTAGTGTTTACTGTGCTATTTTGGTCACAAGGGGGCGATGCTTCCACAGCATAACCAAACAATGGGAAAGTATAACCTATAACTTATACAATAAATAAAAACTCTACATTCAAACTGAAAGTGTGAATCACGCCTTATATATTTCTAGTTTCATCTATTCACTTAATAAACAACATCATCATTGTCCTATCTCCTTAAACACTACTGAGCATTAACATCTACATAGGGTTTCCAAATCCTGTCTTTGTCTCATTGTGTTGAAGGAGCTATTGTCCTAGAGATCTTCAGTAGAGAACAAGTCTCCATTCGTATCTCCTTTATCATACCAAAAGACCCCCTCCTGTCAATCATTTGTTGGCTGATTAAGGATGATTCAAGTGTTGGAGGATGAGCGGGCTCTCCTGTGATTGGGATGGGAACATCTGCACAAATCACCACGATCAAATCACTCAGATGAAACTCAACAGCCCACTACATTTGGTGATGATTTAATCAAGCTGAGATAACGTTTTTATCCACAAAGCCTGTTAGAGAAGACCTTGTTTTACCAACTTACATGTTACATAACCACATTACATAATAATTGAGCAGCATTCTGTTCAGTTCTGTTTTTCACATTAGGTTCACTTACACATATCACCATTAATTTCAATAAAGTAATAATACCAAGAATCAGTATTTATAAACAGACCCACTAAATAAGTACATTTGTATTTCTCAGCATTTACTTATTAAATATACACACTGTACAAAAATTCATGTGAAATCTACAGGAATTTACTGTGTTTGTGCACAGTAAACTACTGTATACTAGTTCACAGTAGAATACCGTAGTTTCAGTCAAAATTGCAGTAATGTAAGATGTACTGTGAGCGTCACAGTAACCAGCAATGTCTTGTAGAAAATCACAGTAACTTCCAATGTATTGCTGAAAACACAATAACTAATTATGTACTGTAGAAAATCACAGTAATTACCAATGTATTGTAGAAAACACAACAAGCAATTATGTACTGTAGAAAATTACAGTAACCAACAATGTGCTGTAAAAAAAATAATGGATATTATTTATATCCAGCTTAGTTTTCACAAGAGAGCAGGCGTGACTATTTGTAGCTTGAATGTGTTTGGTGTCTTTCGCTTCCAGTTATTTTACCTGTACAAAAACAGCCCATTATACTGCTTCATACAAACTGTTAATTATTATCATATTATTTTAACTTAGTTTCATAATCATAAATTCACCCCCCAGAACGCGATTTCACCGTACTGCCATACACTAGGGTTTTCTGAAACCCAGCCACTGGGATAGAGCAGGAAAACATAGTAGCCTACACTGGCAGCTGGGTTTCCAGACAATGACTGCATTTAATTTGACCTCACTGTAATTCAATTACATTTTAGGTTTGAATAGAGAATACAGGAAGCAAATGTATTCTTTCATAAAAAAATAAAAAATAAAAAAAATGACTAGAAGGTCATCAAGATTTTATTGTTTTCAACACATCTAACAATAACGACCCGTGTTCGATTCATGGCTTAAGGTCCTTTGCCGATCACATTCCCCACCAATCGTTACACTGGTCAAGTGCAAAAAAAAGAAAAAGTTGCACTTGCAAATTAGTTTTAGTTTTACTTTACAGTTACATGGTTGCTACTGTAAATGAAAACAGCGAAAATATGGTTATTTCTTCTACAGTAAGTTACTTGTCACTACTGTGACTGTTGATAAATTAATATTTATATTTAAATCGTGCAACGTGCATTATTTATTTCATATTCATTTTTATTTTTATTTTTTTATTTGGGCTGAACCAATATAACTAAACAGCAATGGAACCTGTCGATACAGATACTCTAGTGGTCCCTTTGCCAATCACATTCCCCACCAATCGTTACACTGTCCAAGTGCAAAAAAAAGAAAAAGTTGCACTTGCAAATTAGTTTTAGTTTTACTTTACAGTTACATGGTTGCTACTGTAAATGAAAACAGCGAAAATATGGTTATTTCTTCTACAGTAAGTTACTTGTCACTAGCTGCCAGTTAATTACTGTAGTTATTTTCTACAGTAAGTTACTTGTCACTAGCTGCCAGTTAATTACTGTAGTTCTTTTCTACAGTAAGTTACTTGTCACTTGCTGCAAGTAAATTACTGTAGTTCTTTTCTACAGTAAGTTACTTGTCACTTGCTGCCAGTAAATTACTGTAGTTCTTTTCTACAGTAAGTTACTTGTCACTTGCTGCCGGTTAATTACTGTGCTTTTTATACAGTAGTTACTTGTCACTTGCTGCCAGTTAATTACTGTGAATTGCACATTCAGTTTCTTACAATGCAGTGCTATTTTAGTATTATATATACTATTATTGTTTTAATTTTTTTATATATATTTTTTATTTTCAGTTTTCATTTTAATTTTTTTTTTTTTATTACATTTTATTACATGCTTTTGTCATTTTTATTAGTTTCTGTTCTTTTAAATATTATCGGTTTAATTTATTTTTATATCAGTTTTAGTTATAGTTCAGTTTTAGTTTTTATAGGAATTCGAGTTAGTAATTTTAGTGCTTCAACTTCAACTTATTTCAGTTTAACAATTCAAATTTTTCTATATTTTTCTTACTTTTTCACATTTTATTTGATTTAATTTCAGCTTTATTTCAATTAAAGTTTGCATATAATATTTTATTAAATTATTATTGAATTAAAATATTTTCAAATACATTTGAATAAAATAATAAATTATTATTTATTTTCTAAAACTTTCAGCTTTATTCCAAACAAAGTCTTTATTCAATGAACTAAAATATGTTTAATAGTTTTCGTTTTAGTAAACTATAATAACATTAGTAATACAAAATATTTGATTACATTACTATTTAATAAAGTATTACATTTTTAAATACATTTTTTAACCTAATAAATTATTTATTTTTGAAGACTTCTAAGGGTTCCAAGTTCCCTAAAAATGTATTAAAGAGAATTTTTAACAATGAACTATTGACATAAGCATTGTATAAATGTTAGTTTTAGGCAGAAAATCTAGCTTTTGGGGCTCTCCAGGTCTACTGCTCCCTGCATTGAACTTCAAAGGTCGAAAACCTCTCTAAGAGATGTATGCAGTAATATTAATATTGTAGTGTGCACTACTGTAAGTGTCCTCACACGCCCACTTGAGCTTTACATTGCATGATGCGCATGCATTAGAAAAGGACGGGCTTAATCTGGGAATAAAACTGGAGTTGCGTATTTGTCGTTTTGACTCCGCATCCCGACAGTCAGTTTCCATAACATAGATTTCATAGGACTGCTGTTGTCGGAGGGATGCTGTGAAGAGGAAGTGTTTGTTTGACTCCACATTCACAAAGACAAACAGAAGTATGGGTCTGCAGACTGTGTTCCGTGCGGTGATCATGGGGGCCCCGGGCTCAGGGAAGGGGACCGTGTCGAGTCGGATAGCGCAGAGTTTCGTACTGAAGCATCTCTCCAGTGGAGACATGCTGCGGGCCAATATCGAGGCGAAGACAGGTACGACAGCTTCAGCACTTTCTTCTCATAGCCTACTATTTCAGGCGTTATTCATAAATAACCGAATATGCACGCTCGAATCTTTTTCCCGGTCACTGCGAACGATTAAAAATGGCTTTAAAACTTCAGGAACTCGGTTTTATGTTGATAACCAGGATATATAATTACAATTTACTTAGCCGCAGAAGTGAGTCTTAACTGTGGTTGCGTCTCAAAACGTAGTGCGCAGCAGTTTGGAGACATTGCGCTTTTCGCGTTTAGATAGAGGTAAGACGGGCCAGTAGGCTCGCAGACAACGCATTTGTTATTTTATTTATTTATTCATTTTTTAAACTGAAATGCACGAGGAGTTCACGATGAAGCAGTTCCGCTGATGATATATTTCCACGGCCGCCTTGAGTAACGTCCAGCATTTTCTTCTAGTGTTGGTTTTGATGTCTGGAGAAACCATTAAAGTCGAGCTCAGGCTTTTTAAGTGTGCCATTAGTCTTTTTATGTGTAGACAATATGATATTTTCAAATATTTGTACTTTAATAGGGCTTTTTAACTGTTAACGGCGACGTCTTTCTCCAGAGAATGTGCCTTGCATACTAAACGTGTCAGAGACGTGGGAAATTTACTACAAATGATCTGGCTGCAAATCACACTGAAGCCCAAGCCTGCATTGCATTCAAATTTGCTCCACAATTCAGAGGTTTGCAAGATTGGACTGTATACAGTAGTGCAGGTTCCTTCTCTAATCTGAGCTCTATTTATAATGTTTTTGTAGAAGTAAACACAAGTCCTGAATGGATGCCAGATGCTGTGTGTGACAGTATGTAGCATCATCAGTTATCTGGTGTGCAGTTCTACCTACCACAGTCAGACTAACCCACATACAGCAGAAACAAATGACCAAGAAATGGCTACATACAGGGTTCCCACGCTTCTTGAAAGTACTTGAAAGTGCTTGAATTTCAGACATATGCATTCAAGGCCTGGAAAGTACTTGAAAACAAACATAATGATTCAGTGATAAAATCAGTGACTTATCGCCACCTGATGGTGGATTTAGTTTAATTTTTAGCGTATAATATCAGTTATTTAAATCATTTAATATTTCTGTATTCAAAATTTTATTTTTAAAACATTAATCTCCACATAAATGTATGAATTTAATTGCACTCATGCCACCTCTGAGCCTCATTAACCGTCTGGAAATGTACCTACAAGCCACTTTTGTGTTCTTCTGTGCCACCTCTGTAGTATAAATTAATTGATTAATACTAATTTCATATGATTGGTAACTTATGTCTTATTCTACTTATTGTTTTAAATAGAAATTTAAAAAGTTTATAAACATAAATTTTTGAATTTGACAGATGAAAATGATGCCATTATAAAGGTAAAAAGAAAATACTCCGAGACTTTGCTTGGATAAAAAATCCTAAAAAATCACCCTCACTTAATTAGAATAACATACTGAAGTGTTGTGAAATACATGAAGACTATTTTTATAGGCTTTATTGACAGATAAGTTGAGAGTGACTCTTGAAGGACCAGCACCACATCCTCTTGTACCACTGTTTGAAGAATTGATCTTACAGAATCTAGCAGTAAGTTTTAGGAGCTCATTTTTGTCTCTGCAAGACAGACTTTTAAGGATAGGAGATGCACTCCCAAAACTTACTGAAACATGGCGGAAAGAGTGGGAACCCTGTACATAACCATTTAGCCAGATATGGAGTTGCAGGAGAGAAATATTTAAAGGGGTCATATGATGCTTTTTTAAAGATCATTATTTTG